GTATTCTTTGTATAAATACACTTAAGCATGGTGAAATAAAGAGGTATGCCTAATCACGTTATTTTCTTATTGAAAACCTAAAAAAGTTGCCATTCCATGAGATAAATGTATTATTTTGATTGAAAATAGATTTTTGATAAAATGTTAATCTTGTATGTTGAGGTGGTAGATGTTTGAAAAAAGACGGGAAGACACCTTGTACTTAGGTTTTATGATAGATGGCTCCCGTCAGTAAACATTTTAAACAGTACTGAAGAACGAAACAATCATAACACTGATCCTTAGTTGATAATCAACCGTTTGTACATAGTTCCGTCTTACAGATCAGCTACAGCCCAACTAGTTTAGTAGTAAGGACTTAGACTTTGAAGCTAGGTGGGTGATTTAGGTTGGAATCCTATAGAGGGGACTATCGGTTGCTTCAAGATTACAGGTACACCTTACTGATGGGTGACAAATAGCACAAAACCTGGGTCTAGGGTTCCTCGTTGACTAGCTCTAGCTATGTAACATCTCAACATCGTACACGCAATCTTAAGCCACTTAGATTAGTTGTCGCATGGACGAATCTAACTACCACTATGAAAATCTTGTTAAACATGATATTGATTACTGTTCGATGGTCAATCCACTTTAAACATTTTACGTCATTTTTAAACGTTAAACACACATGCCAACTGTATTTGATTTGTATCTCCTTTATTATTCAATTCTTTTAATCTTTTATGCATTTAAATATTGACTTTTCTAAAATAACTATTCATTTACTTCATTATACACACTACTTTTATCTATTCTTTCAGATCGGTTTATAAATATATAATAAATGAAATATAACTACACATTAAGCTAGTTACCAAATAAGTATACAACAAAGTGATCATTAATAATAATTCGAAAATAGGTTACAATATTCGTCCCGTTACAACACAAGCTCAACGAATGTTAAGAAATATGCATTGCGACTGAATTCCACCATAAAATACAATATATGTATTCAGATGGCAAAATAAAGTTTATTCTATTCAGTTATTTCCCAGATTACAATGTTACGTATGAGGAGAAATAAAGTACCCTTGACTTTTTTTGTGCTATGATTAATCATTTGATTGATTTACAATATTCATCCCCTTCGTTATTGATTCGTTCGTTCTAAAATTGACAACTTTTGTTTTCTAATAACATATTCTACTGTAAACTCTTTTGTTGATATTAGGAAATTGAATATTTCATCCTAATTCTTAACCAACGATAAGCCTATCAACTCACTGTACATTTAAATAACGATATACACGTTATTAACTTGCTGGTAAACACAAATGATGAAGAGAAGCCAATGATTAATGTGCAAACCGTTTCAAGGTCATGGCAGAATAATGGAACCGAATGTTTTGTTCTGAAGAAGTCGACGAGATTATAGTTTATGGATGACCTTTGAACGAATCTTGGGAGACCTTGAAAAGTTTCGGAATCAGAAAACAGTACAAAGTAAGAATATATTACACAAAGCCATGAAATCAGAGTGGACACACTTCATTAACATGGTTTAAAAACTCTCCAAGGTTAGGAAGAGGCTCTGCAGCTCTGTAATCGTAATGCATACTGTACAGGAATTCATCCATATGACTCCATAATTGTCAACCTCTAGAGCTATGATAAGGTCGGAAAAATTCTTTTAGCCTCGACTACATTGCTTCAATATTATTGCTGTGTACTCCCGTGGTGGAGTCTGTAAAATATCGCTTGTGAACAACAATACGATGTGAGTAACCAGGTATAGATAGGCATCTATATGCTCTCCAGTTATCTGTGTATATTGTGGTACCTGGTTGTACATACTCTATTATAATTAGTATTATCGTGGTAGCCTGTCTGTATTTCACGTGCTTAAAATGTTCCTTTTGGGATAATCTATCATATATACCAAAGATTTGCTAAATATACTTAAGAAAGTGCTACTTACTGAATTTTCTTTAACACTTCTTCCTCTATTGAACTTGAGTTTTCTATTGACTGTTTTGTTTGTTTCTGCTATTCTCCTGATTCCTCTAAACGACTGATTCAAGCTTCTCAGTTTGATTGTACATATAGCTCGATAGTAATCAAACCATTTGTTGGGGACGGTAGATCCCTAAAAACTCATAGTTTGTAATTTTATCTTGTGGAGCTTGTATGCACATGTATACGTGGGCATTTCTTACCACCCACGCATATAGTCGATTGATGAATTTATCGATCAAATGTTTAAATAATTCAATGGCAGTCAATTGACGAACTATCGATTAGATGTTTAAAAGCTCCATGGCAATATCGATGTATAGATATTTGTATATATACGTTTAAAATTGTCTTGTAAAAAGTTCGCTGGTTTTCTGGTTGTTACAGAATATACTTTCCTTCTAAGCTTGGTCTTCTCACTCTAGATAGCGGGGCTGGGACGCGTCAATAGATAGCTTACTGGACCTTGGTCACCGAATCCTCGATCTCGTTCTCAAACTACGTGAACCCGTGATAGCTCTCTCTCTTTCAAAACCTAACACCATTGAACTGCCAAAGCTTCAGTAACATCTGCAAAGTTTGTAGCCAGTGTTACTGATGCTTGTATTATCCAGTTTACAACAATTATCATAACTTGTCATAATCTCAATCGGGATCGAGTAAAAACAGTCCCCGTTCTAAGACTTCCACCACCAATAAAAATATATTACATTGAAATAAAACATTGTCACGGTTGTTTGTACAATGTAAAGCTGTCATTTGAACACCACAATCACAAATGAAGGAACTTCTCAGTAATTCCATCTGTTAGTTATGTCCATAACCAACCAATCAAATCGTTGTTTAGGCGCCCACCACGTCAATCTGGTCTGATGTGTCTGCAGACTATCCCTGTTTCATGTGACCTGTCAATTTAAGGACACTATTATCGTAATATATTAGTACGACTCAATTTATATTCATTTTCATAAGACACGCAATACTGGTCGGTATGTTTGTGCGTCCTACTTGACTATGATTCCCTTAATTATTGTACTAATCTAGTTGTTTTTACGTCTGGAGACCGAGTTTAAAGCCACGTTGTCCTTGTTCTGACTATGGCCTTCACATAGACTCGGGGATCTCCAGTATCGCGTTTACAGTTCTAGTAGTATATCTGTAGGCAAATTAAATCCTACACCATCTGTTGTAGCTGCTCAAATATAGCGTCCTCCTTGAAATCCGCTGCAATCAGGTCTTACGTGAGCATTTGATGTTGAAATAAGCGCCGTGTCCTTGTAATTGCTCATTTGCTTTTGATCTGCTCGTCCCAAAATTATAGTCTTGCCGATCTTTACAGATTACGTCTTGTACAAATTCGGAGCCCAATTTCTGTCAAACTATTCTTTCAAATACTAACGAATGCCTGTAGTGTCGAGCCCACCTGTGTTATCTAGCTTCTAAATAGGACTTTATTTGCATTGAGTCGCATTATGACCTTGTAAATTATTCGTTTACAACATTATCTGTTTTTCTATGAGCATTTGTGTATATCGCTTACACCATTCATCATATTTCTTTAGCTTATTTTTGTATGGATGCGAATATTGAGTCACGACTTATCAAAATGGGTTTGGCATACTTGTCTTCTCCACTTCACTCCGCTTCCCGGCTTCTTATTCTTAGTCTCTCTGAATAAACGAGTGTTTGAAATAAATTTATCCAACTCAACCCGTATTCGGCTTCTTATAACTGCCGTCGTACAAATGTAATAAGCATAGGAATTAAGCGGAAGATTTGTATTCATGGCGCGTTTAATCGTTCTTTCAAATTGTAATCAGATGAAGTCAACGGGCCGCTAAACTATTTTACAATCTCATTAAAATCATAAACCGATCAATTTTAGACCAACTTTTTAAAACCTAGAATCATTGGACTTCTTGTTCATCCTAGTGTGGGACTCCTCGTCAGTGCGCGTCCACGACCCTGCACGCGGGATTCAGACCCGGTACCTACGATCTCACGCACGAACGCTTAACCGTTAGACTACTGAGCATCCAACTGTATCAATGTCTAACTTCAACTAGTCCACAGTGTTGCGCGAACATCTTCCATTCTCTTCGATTAATAACTGCCTCACACCTGACACAGTTGAACTCTATTGGTCTCGGCTTCTCACCAGAACTCGAAGAACTCCCTCTCAAAGCTAGTCACTAATGAGCACATGAATTAAAGTGGGATGTTATTTATGGAATGTATTGATTAAAGCCATACAAAGACGTAATAGTTGTTCAAAGCTTTCGAGTCTTCATTGATGGTCTAACTAAGATCAATTGGTGATTTAAACTATGAAAATTGTTCAATCGCCTCAAATCCCCCTATATTAATACAAAACAAGTATGTTTATTTCTCTCGGAAAAAATTCTGTTTAATTTTCCGATTGAAATGTAAATAAATATAAACTAAAAATAAAAAAAGAGGTGAACAAAGGAAATAGTCTTTTTTTCATATTCCAGAAATATATATTGATGTTTATTGTTTATATCGCGTATGATATGCAAAAAATGAATTGAATGTAATTAAACAGAGGAGAGAAGAATGATAAGAGATAGAGAAGAATGTTATCCTTTAATTCATTGTCTTTCATTCTAATAAGATGACAATGTCATTTTTTTACTACAGAATAGTTTAGAAAGATTTTATACCATAGTATGTATTGAGCCATTCATAAGGCTTATAATATTCGATTTGTTATATTCACGACAGTAGTTATCGGTCTCTGTTGCCTTATATGCATTCTGAGCAGATTGCTTTGATATAGTGTTAGGACACTGATTTAGTGTTCAAATGTTAATATCAACACTGGTATGAAACTACATCTAACCGACGAGTCCTAAAGAAGTTAGAATGAGTATTCAGAATTTTACTAATAGCTGTATATCAAATTTACAGAAGTATGTATATAGGCTAACAAAAACAGTTTTCGTTCCAAAATTACATATACTTAGAAAAAAACGCATTAGATGGATGATCGACAAACATTATTTGTTATGTGTCAGGCATTTACATCTTTTAAAAAGGCTATTGTGTCTGTCATGTATGTGTCTGATAAATTTCTCAAACCTGTTGTAAAATCATTAATTTAGATAGCTTGGTTTTTTACTACATGTGGTTTGGTCACAATTAGGATTTCCTTTATCATCTAAAAGTAACCGATACTTGTAGAACAAGTGAAACTGTTGTTATCAAGTACTACATTTAAAAACGTTACAATTGAACTCTTCGTACTGATAATGAATCTTATAGAAGTGGTGTGTTGAGAAAAACTGTTCATTTCGTTTTGTTGTTAACTGTTGGTCAGAGCCACATTAGTAAGTGAATATTTATTAATTGGTGTCCTCACTAATATTCCAACCAATGGTTGGAGATGTTGGGTGATATAGCCCTAAATCAGTTATAATAGTATAAATGCATTCCACTCTTTGTTTTTACTTTATATCCCATGTTTCAAAATTATATCTTGCACATATTTCCCGTGAATTCATTCTTTCTCAAGTCATATTCTCTATGAGTAATCTTTTGTACGGTTACTGGTTAGCTTTCACACTATGTGATCTTCATCGTGTAAATGCACAGTGGGCAATTTTTAAAATCATTTTTAAGCCATTTAAACACTATAAAAGTTTTACCTTTTGATACATTTTTCATTAGGTACAAGCTGTCATCTCGTTTTAAATTTGCCGCATGAATGTAAGACTTACTAACTTGAATCTAATTCATTCCCAAAGTAGCTAGTGTAAAATATTCGCAATAATGTTTATTGAGTAGTATAGGAACATGAAAAGAAATAGAAAACTATGACAGCCATTTAGCTTCGCTTTCAGACCTTCCAATCGCATATACATATAAATCCATCAAGAATCAAATCCAGTGTAATCTAAGTGTTACAGTGGGTATAAGTTATTAATTTTTTTATCCAAGTGGGTTGTGTAGTACTATCAAATTGAAATCTGAAATTAACTATAGTCAAAGCAAATGATGATCCGTTCCTAAAATGTTCATGAATGAAATTACTAGGGGAATAGAATGAAAAACATAGTCTGTCAGAAAGTAGGAGTAAAACACATGTACTGAAAAGTAGCGAGAGGCGCAGCAAATGAATAAGTCTCAGTAATTAACACATTAGCAAAAACGTTACTATTTCTATTTATTAGTAGTCAAGTAAGAATAGGCATATCGAGGTTAATCAGAGCGTTGAGTTTTTTAATTTCATATGATTGACTGACGTAGGGGGTTGTGCGTTCGTATTTCGATTTCAATGTGCGCAATATATTCATCATTCTTGTGCATTTTTTCGCTCGTTTAGTGAATGAGTATTGCATACGAGCATACTAAGCAAAATTAATTTTTGATGATAAACGACATTATGATCGATTTAACTAAATAAGTAAATATTAATATTACATGTAAACTATCCTAGAATCTGCTCTTTTACAAATGTTTTTGGACATATTAGCAAAACAAAATTAATTTTAAGGTTTAATGGTGATAGGCGAATGTTAAACACGTCAAGCATATCCTAATTAGACAAATACAACACAACATATTGGCAATCATGATAAAGTTAAAAATTGCCTTAATATAAGGATTCAATATTAACCTCAATCAGTATCAAAGTATATCCATAAGCCTGTTTTTCATGCCTATCTACTTTTGGTTTACACTTCTAACACTTCGTATGTACATAGTACTTGTGAATCAACAAACTTTCATCCTTCCGTGGCTCTAAACCCCTCCTCCAGTGTGTTTTGGTCTTGTTTTTGTTGTAATTGTTATTTCGTAGTTTTTAAACCATAATAAGTTACTATCATCCACTAACAATTTTTCGTAATTATTATTCTTAATCTTTAGGGTCTACATATTAGACAAGATATGAAAGAACGCGAAAACAATCCATCCTACCTCAAGGTCAGTTGAAGTAAACAAATTTGTGCAACTTAGCCCAAGAACAAATAGACATCTTAATTCATTGCTTTTTTTCTAAGACAAAGGATGGACTGATTAATTTGTCCTGTAAGTAGTAAGCCTTATTTTATCATGTGACCACTTGTTTTGCTGTCATTTATATATATATATATATATATATATATATATATATATATATATATATATATATATATATATATATATCTATATATATATATATATGTACGTAGGCCAACGAAGGAGTAATAGTAATACCGTATGTACTGGTTAAGGTCTTTTCAAACTGGAATTATTTAAAGTGTGGATTGGTAGCGTGCTTGGGATTGCCTTTCAGTTTGTGAGATCTTTTGAATCGTGTTAATTAGTAGGATATCTGTTCAAAAAATATTTATAGTAATTCATGAATTATTTACCGACTAACGAATCTGTGTTGTCAACACCATGAATATGATACTGACTTGTGGTTATGTTCATTTTTGTGAACACAGAGAAATATCAATAATAACAAAATCATGTACTGATTTAAAGTAGACCACCATTGAATGCCTGGAAGACTAGAGGGCTGTTACTTCTTACTATCAGACTCCTCAGCAGTGCACACCCACGATCTGCACTCGGGAATTGAACTCAGCACCTTCAGTTTCTCGCTTATTCTCTAGTCAGTGAGCCGGTATCCAATAGTGTTAGCGTCCAACATTGTGTGGCCATGACTAGTGGAGGTAAACCGTATCGAGTACGAGGCAGTTACCCATTGAAGACAATAGAAGGTGACTGTATAATGCTGTGGATCAGTTGAAGTCAAACATTAACACCGTTGTGTGTCGTCTTAGCGGTCTAGAGTTCAAGTTTATATATAACTTTAAATATATATCACATCATAACTTCATTCATGTCAGCTGATACATGCGTGGTCAACTATGACAATACTTATAACCAGAAAATAACTGAAATCTTGGTTAAAGTAAATAAATAGTTTGCGATTAAATGTATAGTTGGTTACCTATATTACTACTGAATAAATAAACATAATGAGTGAAATTTTAATTGATTGTCATGTGGGTATTATTTAGAATTGAGCTTATTCGGTTTCCTGTGAATATTCAACCATATTTCGATGATGTAATCATATTATGTATATATTAATCAGTTATAATGGTTAATTTTATGATATTGTATATTATATTCTTAGAGTAAGTTATCAATAGATTTAAATTAAACGTTATTCATTTTAGTTTATTCAAAACCGGAGTGAACATCAACTCTGGGATAACAGGTACATCCAGCTGACGACTCCCGAATAGGACGAAACGCTCGTCCCTGATTCCACTGCTAGCCACTATCCATCTTTGCTTAAAGTCAATTAACGTCTAGATTTATCATTATTGTTAAATAAATCTCTATTTAACACCTTCATTTTTTTTCTATCCGAGTATGAATCCCAGTTTCCTATTTCAATTGACCATTTTCTATTATTATATCATTAATCTTTGATCAAAACGACTATAGTAATAGTTACTATGATCTATACATGTAATTAATTAATGTATAATTCATTAGGTTAACTTTAAAACATACATCCAGTTCATTATTAGTTGATTGAATAATTAGTTAATTAATTGAATAATTAACTAATTAATTAATTTAAACATTATTTCATATTATATATATATATATATATATATATATATATATATATATATATTCATATTTTGAAAAATAAAATGAATATAAGCATCTATATGCTGTTATTTCTCTTATCTTAAATACTGAATTTATTAAATATCTGACAAATTTGTAATTGTTTACAGTCTATTGACAAATAATAATTATAAATTATGTTCTGATCGAATACAATGCATTAGGCAATACATATGTGTCACATGTATCCTTAGTTGGGTACTTTTTTTCTAGAGAAAACTTTCTGAATCAGTATCGAATGGTTTAGTCCTATCTGTTATTCATGAAAAATTTCTAATCATTGACAACGACCATATTTCCTTCTTTTTTTCTATCTCCGATATCAGACAATAGAATAGATCTAGAGGTAATTATATGGTTTATATTATTTAAGTTAACCACTGAAATTCAACCATTTCGGTTGTTAAGCGGTTATCTACCAGTAATGATGAAAGATGACTGAGCGATATTCTTCATGGTTCGATGGTTTGAAGGTCAAGGGCTTGTCTCAAGACTTAAAAGCGTCCTGGGTTCGATCCACAATGGTGTCGTCTATGTATATTATTATGGTATCTTGGACTAGAACGAAACAATCCATTTACTGTTTCCTGATATTCAATGATAACTTAAATGTGATCAGTCAGTGATATAGACTGTAAGCTTCAACAATTCAAACATATACACTTCTTTACACTGATATCGTTGACTGCCGTATAACGTTTCATGAATAGATTAACCGTATATATATATATATATATATATATATATATATATATATATATATATATATATATAGTTGAAAATATTACTGTAAATTAATTCAGTACAGTTATATCATAATTTGAAATGTAATTAACTGAACTAATCAAAATAGTGAACTTTCTTAAAATTAATAACCTTTGACACATGTTTAGCTTTTAACGGTATTGATACTTAGATTGTTTAGTTGATTTTTTGAAACGGTAAGCAACGTGTAATATTCAACTGTTAATTAAAAATGATGGATCTTTTATAACATAATCAGACTTTAATTTTACTCAATGTATCCCATGACACGATCACCTGGTTAATACGTAAATGAAACTATGTGTCTTTTGTAAAATATTAATTAAATTCCTATGGGATGTGTTAACAATTGACTCCAACAGCTTCATTCAAATATGTTAGTATGAATCGAAACAATTACTCCATCCAGTACTCGATGTCTTATAGAAAGAACCGCAAGCAACTTATGACTGGGAATTATTATTTTCATTTAACAGAATATAAATTTTCAAAGATATTTTTCAATCAACCTAATTTTGCAGTCGAATAATGGTTGAATGATTTGTACTTATTGGTATATTCATAGGATGAATGAGCCAGTAGGCTCATTCACACTAAGCAGTAACCTGAAGCTAAATCTGAACTAAAGAAACCGCTTCAGTTTATCGAAAAACAGAATCAACTATTAATATTGAAGATATTCCAACTTTTTCCTAGTCATATTGACAAAGTTCAAGAATCTAAAAAAATTGAGCCTTACAGCAAACCTTTCTTCTGTACACAATCGCCATTCATGTATGATTTGCTTATTTTTTTACCTAAGCGATAAAACCAAGAATTACTTCCCCTAGCTCAATATTTATTTGGTTCCACAGAATACATGGATCGTGGCTAGCAATTGAATTCGCACACGTACCCTATACTGTTTGGGATTCGTCAGGTGGATTTACCTTTCATTCCAGTGTTGATGTTCACAAGGAGACTCAAATCTAGCATCACATTCTTCAAAAGCCAATTAAGCTGTCAAATTCAGATGGCTCAAATTATTCTACTATACATTTTATTGGTAGGATTTTGATCATTCTTAGTTGACATTTGTGTTTCTTGTATGGATTTAATCGATATAGCCATTCTGTTACAAACGTCATACCCAAAGAACAAGTTATAGTGTCTATCCGTAATCAACAGCTCAGTGAATAACGCATTGGGAGTCTTAAGAGAAAGGCGATAGATTCGAGTCCTGGTGTGAACATCAACACTTGGGATAAAGATAGATCTAACTGACTAGCCCTAAATATGATCCTGATGTTGACTTACGGCTGACAGCTGACAAAGAGAAGCACGAAACCTAGACCCACGGTTTCTTGCCTCCTATCTTCAAATACATAAAAATGTGAAAACTAAATTGTACTGTACAACTAAGATGAAATTTCAGTTAAAATGAATAATTTCTTTCATGTACCGGCATCTCAGAGTTGATGTTCATTCTGGGACTTGAACGTTCGCTTCAAATGCCCTCACGCTATCCACTTAGCTACTGAGTCCTGATAGCCACTTGCTTGTGCAATCGATTGAAGTTTATTTCACCTGATATTGTTTTACTTGAATCTTCCCATTGATGTTTAGGACTGCAATTGAACAGTCTGTTATTAGCATATGTGCATACTGTGCGTATTGCCTTGATATTGCCTTAATTTGCAAGCATTATAAGCAAAGATGGATAGTGAATAGCAGTGGAATCCAGGACGCGCGTTTCGTCCTGTTTGGTTATCAGGACTCAGTAACTATGTGGATAATGTGATGGCGTTTGAAGCGGACGGTACTGGGTTCGAGAAACAGGTACATCCAACTAACGAGTCCTAAATAGGACGAAACGCGCGTCCTGAATTCCACTGTTAGCCACTATTCATCTTTGCTTATAATAATTACCATTACTTTTAACTATTAATATCAATTATTTCTTTGAAAATTTTATCATATATATGTTGATTTAGTTATTTCATTATACTCCTATATGAATTCATGTGTTATATTGAAAACTTTAGGGTGCACTTTTTCAGACAATTATCACCATCGTCATCATCTATTTTATAATTTCAAGTTATCAATGCTATATATATATATATATATATATATATATATATATATATATATATATATATATATATATATATATATATATATATATATTGATTAGATTGAAACATTAAAACATACTTAATAAATGACTCATTGTTAAGTGATATTTCAATAAGCACATAATTTCTGCTTCAATCTGCATTGACGTTTAGTATATAACAGATCCATAAAATATCGTAAGAATTCAACTTTTTTTTCCTCTTGCTTCAGAATACTACTGATGTTGATGTAAATGAGTAGTGTGAAGCCAACGGGATATGGTAGCTCAGTTGTCTTACAACTACCCAAGATATTTTACAATCAATTCCATGTAAGAAAACTTTTAATGGTAGTCTGTATGAGTATATTTAATGATTGACTCTTTATAAAGTATTTTACCGACTAAATCACTGAATGTTTTCTTGTCAGTTATTTGGAATATTTTCAATTCAATTTGAAATAGCTTGAATTATCTCGTTGTTGCAGGTACATCTAGCTGACGAGTCGGAAACAGGATGGACTCCACTACTATACAACATTTCATCCATATGAAATATTTCAAACGTTTGATAAATAGGATAAATTCAGCATCTTCAATCGCTTTCCTGTTCATTTAATGGGTAATTGGTTTAATTTTCTTTTACCTGACTCATAAATATACGTAAAAACATCGTTACCTGAAAATAGATTTTAAGAATCATTCCGTTTTACAATTATGAACCCTATAATCAGTTTATCGAAAATAAATCGCTTCACCGAAGTGCATTATGTAGAAAACTTTCAATATATTGTCTAAAGTAGTTCAATGAATCAATATACGTAAACAAGCTACTTTTTTTCTTATCAACGGCTTTATTCTAACTGTTTATGTTTACTTTCCTAAACATATTAATAGTACTTATGTTATTGTCTGAAATAGAACAAATGCATAATGGTCTTTGAAGTTCATAAACAACATAGACATTGTATTCATAATTGTATTGAAATTATAATTCAATTTTTAATTTGATACATTATACTGCATATAGATTATCAATGCCTAGATTGAACTTGATAGTTTCAAATAAATTGATCATTGGGTAGAGAGTTAATAATAAATACATTTGCTGGGGAGTCCCACAATAGGATTAAACGGCAGTCCAGTGCTTCCAGGCTTTCCATGGTGGTTTAGCTACAACTGACTCATGATCTCAACCATTGAAATATATTTTTTGTTATAACCCAATGAGTAAAGAAATAGTATTCCTGACTTTTCGTCATTTCATGCAAGCCACTTCTTCAGAGTAAATTAAATAATCGAATTAAAATAGCAAAAGTTGAAAGAGTACAAAAGAAACAGTGAAGAATATTTTTGATACAATCAAAATCATAATAGGTCTGAATATGTCAATGTCAAGTTATTCTTGGTTAAGGTGAATTTGTATGACCTGTCACAGTAATAAATTGTGTGTCAGTGTGTTGTTGTGCAAAATGTATACGTTTTCAATATCATGTAGTGAGGTTGAAATTAGGTATGCGTGTGTGTTTAAATTGTGTGAGAAATAAATAAGGTCAGATATGGTTGTTTGGATAAATAATCCAAGATGAATGAATATTCGGGCCTTCATTCCTATTGAGGGGAGAGGGATTTAAAATTATATGAAGCGCTCCGGCTACTCGCCTCCTTTTTATAGTTGGAAAAGCCTTTGTGAGTTATTTTGATATTTTTAATATCAATATGATGATCATCGAAGATAACATGTACCGCTGTTGTTGATTTAACCTGTAAATTTTCCGATTCCCCGGGATTACTAGGTCTTTTTATGTAACTCAAGTGTTCTTTGCACGAGTGGAGATCTCACAGGAAGACTGTTCAATATAGAACGCATCACAATAGACAAAAGCTAATCTGTAGACACAGTTTTTTGTGGAAGTGAATGGTGTCGTGTCTTTTATTCTAACTAAAACGTTTCTTATAGTGTTGGTTGTCTTATAGAAAGCTTTAATTTTGTACGTTTACAATATCCGTTGTATTTCTTCTGTTGTACCTTGGCGATAAGTCCGAACTGCAGTATCAATCTAAGATCTTTCATAAGGATTGTTGTTTACAGAAGAACATTCTTGTTTTAATATGTTTTGAATAATATTCTTAGGAAAATTATTAAAACGTAAGATGTTTATTATATTCACTGCTTCTTTTAGTTTGTCTTCGTCTGAAGTAATAATCCTATTTACCCTTCTGAAAAGATTCAGGTCTGAGGAAATCTTCGCGCTGAATAGATGCGAAGATTTGGATGTGTCGGTTTTCGGTATATGCCTAGATTTAGACTATCATTAGAATTCGTTTTCATACCCACACTCTGACATACAAATTCACCATAACCAAGAACAACTTGACATTGACATATTCAGACCTATTATGATTTTGATTGTATCAAAAATATTCTTCACTGTTTCTTTTGTACTCTTTCAACTTTTGCTATTTTAATTCGATTATTTAATTTACTCTGAAGAAGTGGCTTGCATGAAATGACGAAAAGTCAGGAATACTATTTCTTTACTCATTGGGATATAACAAGAAATATATCTATTATTATATTGCATTCTTTAGTTGATTATTTTATAATCAAAATTCTGGTATTTATGTATGAAAAAGACAATATTTTCAAACTATTACATAGATTAAAACACGAAGTTCAGCGAAGGGATCTCTTTTCAACGAATTTATTATCAAGCTGTACAATCGTATATATATATGAAAATTATGTAAAAGTACTAATTCCGTGAGGAAATGTGAACACAGTTAACCATGACATAATAAAAAGTTTATAATACTAGATTACGTAATACAAATAATAACAATATATTTAGTAAATATAATAAGATGATTAAAATGTTTTTGTTATAATACTTTAAGGTCATAGAGGTGTGAAAAATAAATAAATATGGTAATATGATGAGTATTTACGAATAAAAACAATGAGAATATAAGACATAAGTAAAGGGGGAATGCAACCTTAATAATAATAATAATAATAATAATAATAATAATAATAATAATAATAATAATAATAATAATAATAATAATAATAATGATAATAATAATAATAGAATAATCAAAATAATTAAGGCCAAGGTAACGATAAAGATAAGACGTACTTCTTTTGTACGCATAGTTCTGGTTTAAGCTCCTGAATGGTAAGAGCTTCGGCTTGTTTTTAAGAGTTGGATACGAAGAAATCTAGGTAGATTTGGACGAATCATATAAACAACCTTAAAATCAATTTGTGGATCTGTAGAATGGTTACAGTCTATAAGGTGTTCAAGTATAGAACTTCTAACTGCTTTCCTTTCACCCTTATAGAACCAAGCTGGAATATGTTCCCGTATCCGAGTTGAAAGCAAGCGCTGGCTACGGCCAATGTACCTTGCTCCACAAGAGCAGGTGAACTGATAGATGCACATAGAGGCGACCAGACGCGGAAGCTTATCTTTTATGGATACAGAAAATAAGTTCCTACTAGTGAAGGTTATTCGCAGTTTAGCTGCATTAAATGTTCTTCTAGTCGTTGTTGTTAGACGATTTTTGATCACATCTGATGTTCGATCACCTTTAAATTCCAGACTTATATAAAGGTTTTTCTTTGGAACGGAACAACTAGATTTCTTGTCGTAATTACTTCTATTCAGATTCTTTTCTATAAACCGTTCTGGGTAGCCATTTTCCTTCAAGGTTTTCTTGAGGAATGCGAGTTCTTCGTTAATGCATTCCGTACTGCATATCTGGTGTATTCGATAACATAAAGAATGGATAAGATTTCTCTTTCTACTTAACGGGACCCAGCTATAGAAGTTGGTTAGCTGGCCATTCCAAGTTTGTTTTCTAAAGACGGATCTTTTTAAAGAACCATTACTCCTTTACATCAGACGTACATCGAGAAAAGGAATTGATTGGTCTCGTTCCCTTTCTAACGTGAAGTCTATGGATGGGTGGCATGAGTTAAAAGTGTGTAAAATATCATCTAGATCAATATTATTGTCACAAACGACAAACGTGTCGTCCATGTACCTCACGTATAGGTGAAATCGATTGATCATTGAACGGAGTTGGTCGTTTTCTACTTTTGCCATGAAACAGTCTGCTAAAATTGGACCCAATGGAGACCCCATTGCGATCCCATCCCTTTGTCTATATATTTCATTATTGAAACTGAATTGGACATTAAAAGTACAGCGTAACAATAGTTCTTTCAAGTGTTCAGTCGGTAAACCTAGATCTATGTTGTTAGAATCTATATACTCACATATATAGCATATCGTTTCGGTTAAAGGTACGCTAGTGAACAAAGAGTTAACGTCAAGCGAGAACATGTGTTTTCCGGAAGTATTAATGTCCTTAATACGATCAATAAATTGAAAAGTATCATGAATAGAATATTTAGATACTTGCCTTCTAACCGGTTCCAATTTTTCCGCTAACCATTTGGCGATTCGGTGGTATGGTGAACTCGACATGTCCAAAATAGGTCGCAACGGTAAACCCGGCTTATGTACTTTAGGTAGTCCATATAAGCGCGGGATGATTGAACTCATGGGACGTATGTGATTATATAGATCTTGGGTTATTATCCCTTTATTCTTAAGATTTTTAACAACATCTGTTAGCTGTTTTTCGATTTGCAATGTTTTATCGACTTCTCCTTTAGGTTTGGAGAATTTAGTACCATCCTCTAGAATTAACTTCATTTTATCCAAATATTCTTGGCGGTCAAGTAGTACTACACCAGCTCCCTTGTCAGGTTTACTTAGGATTAAATCCTTATTTCTTTTCAGGAGTATTAGCTGATCCAAGTGGTTCTTAGTTAATAGGTTATTCTTACTTCATTGTGCATTAACGTATCCATGACTGCAGTCCAGTAATGTGGATTTAAAGTGCTGAAGATTTTGTGGGGATGTCGGCATAAGATCATGAGTTTGATTTGATAGATTTTCGAATTGTATTTGTGTATGAAGTCTACTGGTTTTGAAGGTGCTGTTACAGAACTTGGGACCCAATGATAAGGCCTGTATTTGGACTGGCGAGAGTTTAATAGAAGAATGATTAAATACATACTTTTCTGGATGTTCTGGAAACTTCTTAACCACGTCTACGTGTTGCAATGTTTCCAAGTGTTTACGTTTAGCTTTTGTGACTGTTTTTCCGTAACATTAGTAACATAGTCCTCAAATTGTTTACGTTCATCTAACGACAATTCGAACAATGCGTGACTTCTTAGAGATACGTTGCGATCTAGTTCGACTATTCGAGATTTAATAGCATCGATATAATTTAGTGTATGACGTTTGAGTGTTTTTGCATTGGGATGAATATGGTTTCGCCTTAGTGCCTTCCAGAAACATTTAGGATAATCATTATTTTCGATACAGCTTTCAAAAAAATTGATCTCAGATTTCACTAACGCAAGCTTGACGGTGTAACGTAAGAACCCATTGAGCTCTTTCATCGTCATAAGGTCCTTGC